AAAAAAAAGCCAATACTTACAGTATCAGTAGCACCAACATTTTGTTTTTTGAATCGGCATGTATCATCAACAGCTTCATATGGATAACTTTTTTCGGTATCAATACCTTTGTTAGCTTTGATGTATTCAAAAGCTTGATCCATTAAACCACCATCACATCCCAAATTACCAAATTTGCCTGAGCAATCAACCAAGTTTTGTTCAGAAAGTGAAACAAGTTTCTGTGTTTTAGCAAAGTGTTGACCTTCAAGTGAACCAGTAGCTGAGAAAGCCCAACATGATCCACATTGTCCTTGATCTTTAATTGGTGTTACATAACCTTTTGTACGCCAATCTATTAAAGAAAAAAATATTTTATAATAATAGTTTATGTATTTCAAAAGAAATCAATATAAGAATAACATACCAACAGCATCTGGAAGGACAACATTTGATGGAGCTAAGAATGTATGATGATCAAATTCTGATGTATCAGTTCGAGTTGACATTTTGAATCCATTCATTTGTTTTTTGAATTCTTCATGAGTCTAAATAAGTGAACTTTCTATAGTATGATATTTCATGGTGTAAAACAGAAATATATTACCATATCACCGAATCGATTCATTCCTAAAGTGTAGGTATGTAAGTCTAAATCAGCTTCAAGATTGTGTTTGTGAATTTTAGCAAGATTAGCTTCCCAAATTGTTCGGCTAGAAAAAAAGAGAAAAAATATAATTTTATAAATGATAAATAGTTGAACTGTATTGATTAACATACCGATTAGCTTCTTCTTCAACTGAATTGTATTGTTTTCCATACGTACGTTTGAATAACGTCCATTCATCATCATATACCGGTGCACAATAAGCACCAACGAAGAGAACACAAAGTGCGATGACTACTTTCATTGCTAGTACTGTTGCTTATCGATAAAATTTGACTTGATGAGAGTGAAGAAGTTATATGCATTTATATAGGTGTTAAAAGTTTCGCGTGGTCATGATGCTTTGCAAAGATAAAAGTTTAAATTTGCTATATCACTTGAGAGGGGCATAATTATTTGACTTACGTCGCATGACATAAAAAGAAAAGGAATCTTACTTATCTTTCGATTAGTCTTGCTCATGAAGTTGTTATAAGGATAAATGATGGTAAAGAGAACAGATGGTCATGTAGACTTTTACTGCATCATGTGATGTATCAAGGCTGTAGCTTATCTCATACAAGGTTCTTTCACACGAACAATTATGAAATCTATCATGATATTTTAGACGTCGTTGAAACTGTACTAATCGAATATGAAGTGATGGAAAACAAATCCAGTTGATGAGTGTCATATGATAATAGTTGTAATGCGTTACGATGAGTATAATGGTTTTGAGAAAAGTCCTTTGAACAGCATCTTCTATCAGGAAACAAGTGTTTAGCGCATATTACATTAAGCAATTCGAAATTTGCGTCACATAAAATCTCTCGACAAAAATATTTAAGACAATTTTCGAAAAAATACGTCGTTTTTTTTTTTTCAATTTTGGTTTAACTTTTAATTGAATGTAGAACATATATTGTGTTGATGAAAAAAAGAGCCACAACAACGTTTAAGCTCCTGTACACAGTGTAGTGAATATTTAATGATTTCCCCAATTAAATATGAAATAATTATTAACAATTTTCTTGTAGTTTGTTAAGCCTTCATGGAAAAAATTAGATATAAAAGTAACATGAATTTTTTTTATTTAGTAATGAGACTATTACATTTGGAATAAGATGGTTATGAAAGGTCAATAATTAATAACGTGTTTCATTGGTTGTTTAGTTTTATCAGGGTTCGTAAGTACTATCATCGCGTCTTTTTTTTTCTAATGTGACTGTCATTGTTGGAATAAATGATAATATGAGTAGTTTATGTTCCGTTATCTTATCAGAGTGTGCACAATATTGCGAGAAGAAATGAATCAACCTTATCACAATGACGGTGTCTATTGCTTCATATAGAATCTACAATTCACTAGTTTCTTTATACTGTAGCAAGTTATAGTCGATTGTAATTGGACAAAATAAAAAATCTAATTTAATTTTAGTTAGATTTTACGTGAACATAGATGGATTGAACAACGTCATTCTGATGATATTTTTCCATACAATGATTGTTTAGTAGTGTGTTACTCAAGAATTATTTCAATTGTGAAAAAAACAAAGATCAACTCCTTTTGTTTTCTACCATATTCTGTACTATATGATTCGTCTTAGTCATAAATAATGAAGTTAGTTTACTGTGTAGTTGTGTCCATCGACATATTCAAAAATGAATAAAAAAATATATCAGACTATTTACTAAGACATATTAAATTCAATAAAATACAATTTTTTTTCCACTAAATAATATACGATAAAGTATTTTTGTGCAACAAGACATATTTTGGCTTCAAAACTTGTATATAATCAAACCTTGATGGACAATACTATCTATACTACTGATATTATTTGTGTTCTAACAAGAAGAATTATTTTTAAAAAGTGAAAATTTCATAACGAATATCAAATGTGTCGTGTAATGATGTATGCAGAAAAAACTTGTAAGGCCTTAGGGTCCTTGCTTATATTTGTACAAAGAGCGAGAATCACATCTGTCCACTCCTTGAGAGGGAGTTCAAGCCTTTTATAAGCGAACCTTAACAGTTTGTAGATAGAGAAGCTAAGCCCACTTAGCCAGCTTGGTTATGCCAATAGCGTCGTTGTCTATGAAATTACAGAAGTAGATAATAAAGATATGTTTCTCTTCAATATTTCTTATTTTGCTATCTTTTTCAACTATTGATGGTCATGGAGCGATAACAGTGTACCAACATAACAATGTCGTTGATTGGCCTGGCAACTGAATTCGCTTTAGTATGTTTCTTTCCAAAAACTAGATTGATTTATCTCGTAGTAGTACTTCCCAGAAAGATAAAGTGTGTACGAAACATCTTGAATTTAGAAAAAGCGTATATTTCTAATAGAACGAAGTAGATGTCACTACCTCCAGTTATATCAATTTGAAATAAGTGTATCTCTTAAGATATTTTCTTCTAAGTACTTTCAAACTTTGTCATTCGAACAGACCATTGCTGATACAAAAAAAAATCAAGTTATAAAATATTTAAAAATTAGTCAAGAATATTCGTATGCATATAATGTGGTATCTAAATGTAACAAGTCGACTTGTTCTGTGTTAATTAAAGGTATGAGCTATAGAATATGAAGGGTGACAGTCTTTTGGATGATTCGACTTGTCAATAGAACTACTAATCTGCATCTTCGATAACTTAGAACTTTAACTACCATCGAACAAATTGACTTGTTGTGTTGTGATATAAGTTCAACCGTATCCGAATATTTTTCATTAACTATTATTTATTGTACCATTTAACTTCATTTTTTCGGTGAGCAATAATATGTGCGGATGATAAAAATGAAACTATTTGAAAGAAAAAAAATTTTTATAAGCGACAAACTTTTGCCAACTCAGCATACGATAGAATCGACATCTGTAAAGTTTTGTGAGGAAAACACTGAATCACATTATGAGAACCAATTCATTTATGTTTTTGCGATCTTAAAAGATATTATTCGAGTGCAAAATAGTTTATTTTATGGACGAAAATTTTCAAATGAGTTCGAGTTATTCGAATAATTAGTAATGTTGACAATGAGACGTAAATTACTATTACTTTTACGTACCAAGTAAGAAATAAAAGAACAGTTTGTATATTCAAGTAAGTAGACTGTAACAGTTAAATTATACAAGTACAAAATAATAAAGGAAAAACAAATAATGATGAATAAAATCTGCACTTTAAGCTCATGTAATATAATTACATGTATGTTAAACCTACCGTTGATACAATCTTAAATACAACATTGGCAGATATCAAAACAAATAGCATATTCAATGAATACAAAACGTGTATATACATTGTTTTTTTCATGTCACTTACGTATATATTTAATATTGTCGGTGAACTCATCAATATTTTGTCCAATATGCGGTTGGTTATTGAAACTGCAAAATGAGCGAAAAATATTGGGGATTCTGTAAAAGATCTTCGACTTACATTTGCTGATTATCTGGTATGAATTGTTTCAAGATCGGATGATGATCAAAATGAAGGAAAAGACACGTTATCAAATATTCATAATTCATATGATTTAGTCGTTGATATTACCCGATGTAAAAAAAAAGCGATAAAAAACAACTTTAAAGTACTTTTAATATTAATAAAGTCAAAAAAAGTAACGTTTCCTACTTTTTTCATTTTAAGAAGTACTTGATAGTACCTTCCTATCTCATAAACCATAAAAAGTGCTTTGTAGGACTTTTGAAAGTACTATATAAGCTTCATGAGATAGAATAATAATATTAAGTGCCTTGAAAGTATCGAAAAGTACTTTCTATACTTTATATCATGGAAAAGTTCTGTTCCAAGTGAAAAAGTATCAGAAAGCATTTTAAAAGGTGAAACATAGTAGAAAAAGTTACTTTATTTTACTTTATTTATATTAAAAGTACTTAACCCTTTGGAAACAGAGTTACTGTAGCAAAAAAAAATGAAATTTTTTGAAATACTGAACAATGCATTTGTTTACAAATCTAGGACATGAATGTCGAGTATGAATGTCAGGTGTGGACGTTAATGTGGGGTAGGTTCGGGTTTTGATGTGGATATGGGTGTGTTGGGACAGTATTGTGGCTCTGGATGTGACTGCAAGCAGAAGAACATCCACATTTCACAACCGCAGCTGCATCGGAAATGATAAATCTATGTTCTAGACTGTCATATCCGCTTATTCAAAAGAAACCCTTATAAATAATATAAAATTTACTAAAAATTTGACATTTACTGAAGATGGCTCAATCCATATCGATTATTGTTTTCAATTTGTTGCTGATTTACATATTTTTCGATTTAAAGAAAATGAAAATATCCAAATAGGTATTAAATATTCATCATGTAATTATTACTGGTCGTGGTTCATCAATATTCATTCAAGATGAAAAAATGTTTAAGGAGATCCCCTTTCCGGACCCAAAATTTTCAAATTTTTCATTTTTTGTTTTTTCTGCTCTACATGTGTTTTCAAGTGCCCTCTATCTACTGGTAACGTTTTGACAACTCAAATATAGCTCTAAAGCAAAAATAAAATCGAAAAGATAAATCGATTGCCGTAGGGATATAGTACGATTTTTTCTTTCCTTCGCGGTTTTCTAGAAACCAGATTTTTCAGCAAAAATCTACAGAATTGCCCCCGTTTCTCAGGAACAGTAAATCCGATCGAGCTGAAATTTTTCTACAGATAGTAGAAACACTTTAGGGGGCCTACTTTGTTTTGTTTTGAAAAATATTGTACCGCTGAGTTTTGGCAGGCCTTACAAGACAAGCACTATTCAAAAAAATATGGGTTTTTTAGGGTGCTCTTGGTATTTTGGCTTTTTTATTCGAACGATAAGTGATAGAAAGAAACCAAAAAAAGTAGGCCTCCTAAAGTGTCTCTACTATCTGTAGAAAAAATTTCAGCCCAATCGGATTTACTGTGCCTGAGAAACGGGGGCGATTTGGGAGTCGATTTTTAGCCATTGCAATCCCAATATTTCCTAGAAAGAAGCATTTGGGAATTTTGAGTCTATGACAACTTTTACTCTACACATCGAGATCTATCAGCTGTGAAAGTTTCAAATTTTTCTGATGAGCCGTTCTCGAGAAACCCCGGAAAGGGGGAGGGGGGTGTCCCCTTAAAAATATTACTATTGATAAAATTATTTAAATACAAATCGTCTAGGAAAATTTAAAATAGAAATTCCAGTAGGAAAATAGGAACTTAGTTCGGCTTATAATTATCGAAAAAAATGTTATTCAACATATTTAAGAAAATGGAATTATTACGATACTAAATATTTCCAATGAACTTTAATTTTTTATTTTATTTTTAAGAAGAATTTCTTTTTCTTATTTAGATTATCTTATGTGATGGCATACAATTCTTTGAAAGAAATAAAAAATAATAATAATAATAATATTTGGTTGAAGATGCTCTTGACTCAGAGGGCGCTTTTTTGAAATACTCATCAATAGATATGATTGGTTTATCATATAATTATTTATTTATTTATGGTTTTCGAACTTTTACGCAATATATTTGAATGATGTCGAAAAAAGCTCTGATTCAATAATTTCAACAAAAAGTAGAAATATTTTCATGTTTTAATTTCACAAGAATACAGTCATGTATTGAAATATTGTATCATACTTTATTATTCTATAAAAACTTCTTCATTAATATTCTAGATCAACAAAAATTTTAATAAATATGACTACAAATGAGACTCGTCCAATATTTGCTGCATTATCTGCTGATGATGCTGAAAATCAATTAACTGAAATTGAATCACTTTGTATGAATTGTTATGCAAAAGGACAAACACGTCTATTATTAACACACATTCCATATTATAAAGATGTTATACTTAGTTCATTTGAATGTGATTCATGTCATTCTAAAAATAATGATATACAACCAGCACAACGTATTGAATCATATGGAATATCAATTAATGTTCATATTATTAATACTAAAGATCTTAATCGACAATTTGTTAAATCATCTGATGGAACAGTTCGAATTAAAGAATTAGATTTTGAACAAGCACCACATGGTGAAAATGGTCTTTTAACAACGATTGAAGGTTTATTAAAATAAATTAATGAAATAAAATAGAAATATTACCTCTTTTTTTTTTTAGGATTTCTTGATTCAATAACTGAAAATATAAATAAAACAATTAAACAAATTGAAGAAACAATTGATGAAACTCATAAAAATTCTAAAGAAAATTCAACAGATGATAATGATAAACAAAATATTTCAGAATTTGAACAACAAAAACAAAAATTATATGAATTTATTAAACGTGTTGAATCATGTAAAACATTATCACAAACATTTCATTTTGAACTTGATGATCCAAGTGGTAATAGTTTTATTGAAAATCCAAATGCACCACATCGTGATGAACAAATGAAAATAAAAAAATATCGACGAACATCAGAACAAAATACATATTTAGGTATTGATGAAGAAACAACAGAAAATGAATCAACATTAGAAAAATCCGATGATATTAAAGATGAAGTACTTATTTTTCATACAAATTGTCCTTCATGTAATTTACCATGTGATACAAATATGAAAGTAACACAAATACCATATTTTAAAGAAATTATTGTTATGGCAACAACATGTGATGTTTGTGGACATAAATCAAATGAAGTTAAATCAGGTACAGGTGTTGCACCTGAAGGTATACGATATCGTTTAATTATGAATGATTCAATTGATTTAAATCGAGATGTATTAGTTTCTGAAACATCATCATTATCAATACCTGATTTTGATTTTGAATTATCATCATCAAGATCAATTGGTGGACGATTTACAACAATTGAAGGATTACTTACAACATTAAAATCTCAATTAGCAAGTGTTATTATGCCATTTAGTTGTGGAGATAGTCAAAATCCAAATAATGATAAGAATATAATGAAATCATTTATTAATGATATATCAGCTGTACTTGCTGGAGAAAAATTTGTTACTATTGTTTTAGATGATCCAGCTGGAAATTGTTATTTACAAAATATTTGTGCACCCGAACCTGATCCACAATTAATTGTTGAACATTATCAACGTACAGATGAACAAGACGACTTATTGGGATTAAAAGATATGAATGTTGAGAATTATACAGATTCTTGATAGAAAAAAAAGAAAGAAAGAAATATAACAGTAATCGTTTGATTTATATTTTTTTTCTGATATAAAAAGAAAGAATAAACAACCATGTCGTCGATAACAAGCAAATAGCAGTGTGATATTGATGCTATTGCAATCGCATTGTGATTCCTTTTAGCGCTCCGCTATAATGCGATATTACGGCAATACGAATCAATTTTATGCCTTATAACATAATATTTTCTCATTAGTGAATTTCAGAGATATTTCGAGATTTAGATTTAAATAAGATCAATAAATACTTTATACTTTTATTGGATCATACAATAAATAACAATCACCAAAAAAAATCATATGAAATTCGAAAACAACACAAAAAAACAAGCATTGAACAAATAATGCAGAGTACAAAAAAAGCCACTCGTTATTCGTCAGAGATTTCATTGCTCCAGACGCCATATATATGTATAATAAGCACACATAGTGAGTGATTTCTATAATAAACATTTTATCTAAAACAAAAAGAAATAAAAAAAGTAGAATAAAATAAACTTTAAATTATTGTAACCCATTGAAGTGTACTGAAAATGGGAGCACGACTGTAGTATGAACAGACAATTGTGTGTTAGATGTTTGTGTGCAGATAATTGTGTGTAAAATGAGTGTATGTATGTGCAAATAAATATTTTTGTCAAAAAAAGGTGAAAGACAATGAAGGAAAAAAGTAAACAAAACAACAAAGATTAATCAAATAAATAAATCAATAAAGAATTATAACATGAATGTATGAGCGATCGCTTTTATTTTTTGTATATTATCATCGGTAGGATTTTCTAAAATCCGTAAAATTCTGGACGCTGTGTGTTGAGTTTGGATTCGCTTTGGTTTTGGTACGAGACCTGTTACTACTGCCCATTTCAAAATATAAGGCACGTGGGTATTTTTTGAATAGCTTTTGATAGGAACCCGATAGAGAGCTGTGGTGGTTTTCACTGTTGCAAAGAAGCTGATTCAGCGCATCAACTCATATAAAATTGTTAAGGTTTATCTGAAAAATAGGTAGTTATCCATTATCATCTTGAAAGAGTAGACTATTGCTCTTTGAAGGTAGAACAAATCTTAAACTTTGAGGTGTGCGTTAGAATCGCCAGCTCAAGAGCTACAAAACTATATATAATGCTTGATTCAAAACTTTACTGATATGTAAGTTCTAGGTACTATATTCGACAATTATAGTCCATTTTGTCAGCGTTTTCTGTAAAAATACTCAGTTTTTTTCGTTTTTCCTGGAAAAATCAGGCCTGTTTTTCAGGCATTTTTTTGTTCAACTATTACAAAAGGTTTCAAAAATCCAAGTTAAAAATCATTATTTTATACGGTTCGATGCGTTTTTATCTGCTCTTTCCAACGGTAAAAACCACAGCTCTCTATCTTGTTCCTATCAAAAGTTATTCAAAAAATACCCACATGCCTTTTATTTCGAAATGGGCAGTAGTTGAGAAATTTCACCATCTACGTATGATTGCTCTGTTTGAAGATCACTCAAAAGACCCCAAAATCCAGGATGGGCTGAATCTACGATATTGTTAAGTCGTCGGTGCCATCCTTCGATGGCGTTGTCAATCAGAGCTGGCTTGCCTTTTTCAGTTTCAGAAAATAAAATTGACATGAGATGTTCGTACTTTCAATATGATCTATATGATAGTGAATTTTAAATGACTGTAAGTGGATATCTTCTATTATTCTCACTTATTTAAATACTTTCAAGGAAAATTTATCGACGTGCATGCACATTACCGTCCATTCTCATAAGTGTCTTACACACAACTGTCTGTTCTCATAATTGTTTTTCACACAATTGTCTTACCCACAATAGTCATAGATACACTGAAAATAATTTGAGAAAGTTCCTAGGATTGAAATTCTTGAAACTAGTTTATTTTTATATCGTATTAGTAGTACGAAGTGCTTTTATCATATACACATAACAATTGCATAATGAGGCGTCGATCATGTCATTGTCATAATAACTAATCATTACTATTCACTTCTTTTTCTGTGTCAATCGTTGACCCTTGACTGATGACCAGTTTTTTCCTATATCTATTTTTTCTTCTGTTCTTTTACAATTGTCACTATTGTTTTTGATCACTTGACAATTTTAGAATTGAAAAGCAAGAATTACATTGAAGTTTGCAACTATTTTAATAAATATCATTGTTAATGTTAAAAACTAAATAAATTTCTTCATTCTATTTCGAAACTACATGGTTTCATACAACAAGCGAATATATCATATTCAAACTCGATGGATTTTCTGATCAATCGTATAAAAAGAAATTTTACAATTCTATACTAAAAGAAAGGAATACATTATTCAGCATTTAAATGTATTGTGACCATAGCGTCGTGTTTTTTGTTGTTTTCTGTTATCTTGCCGCAATAAGCAATATTTAATATTGCGATCAATAGTGTCATCTTTCTGCTTAATAACGACGCTTTATACCGTTTCGGCGCTATCGCGGTGCTACTCAATAAAAATAGACGACATGGGATGTATATCTGATATACTCTCGCGAGGAAATGCATCGATGATAATTGGGATCAATAAAAACAATAATTTATCATTGTTGAATTTATTTTTAAATATAACATTTATGTGATATGATCTACTGATTTCAAATTTCTATCAAACATTCAGAATAATCTATGGTACATATATTTCTATTTAATTTATCGAAGGAAAATATTTAATTTCAGATGCATCAATAATTTGTTATCTCATTGTTATTAACAAGAAGTACATATGTTAGTTAAAAAAAAAAATTTCAAAGTCAAAAAGTTTGATTCCGCGTGATTCTATTCTGTTGCCATATGAAAAACAAATATGTATGATTGACATGTTCTTTATGTTAATCATTTTTGTACTAATCTATTCGAATCTCAAACTTTGAATTTTGATAAATCAAAAGAACTTATCTGTCAAAAATACTAGAGGTCACTAGAAATTATATTTATATAATTGGTCTTAGCCTACTCTAATCAATTAAATAGATGGTTTTGTATTGTACCATATTCTTTCGAAATTATTAATATATATCTTGACAAATTTGACACGATCAAACAAGAGCAATTTGTTTTTATATTTATACCAAAAACAAAATTAGCTAATTAAGAAAAACTTGGTTTTTTCTTGTACTGTTCTGATACAACGATTAAATTTTACAAAAATCCCTCTGTTTATAAAACGAACAGAAAATGAGTAAAGAAGCAAGAAAATATTCAGAAAACAAAAGTAAACATTCAATGAAATTCAAATATTTTCATATAATTCTTATTTGAATACTTAGAAAAGAAACCAACAGATATAAAAATTTCAAAATTAACTCCATCGAAAAAAGATTTAATACAAATAACTGAAGAAACAAAAAAACAGGTTTCTCTTTTTTTTTTTAAATAATTTCAATTTGATTTTATTTTATTTTATTTTTAGTTCGAACAAGAACGACCTAAATCTTTAGAATCAATGATGATTGATATTGAACGACGACAAAATAAATTTGAACATGAACAAATCTCCTTAGTATAATTCACATTAGTTTGTTTTGTTGTTATTATTTTATTTAAATATTTAATTTAGAATGAACAAGATCAATTCATATCTGATATTGATGATGGACAAGAAAAATCACGAAAAACATTTTATCGAGAATTTAAAAAAGTATTAATTCAAAATAAAAATATTTAAGTTTAGTTCTTTTCTATTGAAAAGGTTATTGATGCATCTGATATAATTATTGAAGTACTTGATGCTCGTGATCCACTTGGATGTCGTTGTTCACAAGTTGAAGAAATTGTTTTAACTTCAGGAAAAAATAAAAAACTTATTTTATTATTGAATAAAATTGGTATGACACTTCTGTCTTTTTTGATTTAATCATTGAAATTTTTGTTTTCCCCTCCTAATAATTTAATCAGATCTTATTCCACGTGATAATCTTGATAAATGGTTAAAATATCTACGTAATGAATTTCCAACTATTGCTTTTCGTTCATCAACTCAAAATCAACGTGATCGATTAGTACATATTGATTTCTTCTTATCAAATATATAATATTGTTCATCTAGGGTCATATTATAACATCAATAAAAGCTTGTGATGAACATTTACTTAAATCATCAAATAAATGCATTGGTGCATCAACATTAATGAATCTTCTTTCGAATTATTGTCGAAGAAATGATATTAAAACAAGTATTACTGTTGGAATTGTTGGTAAAAAAAAAAATTTTGTTTTTTGATAAATAAAACAAAAACTCTTTTTCAAGGATTTCCTAATGTTGGAAAAAGTAGTGTTATTAATAGTCTTAAACGAACTCAAGCATGTCAAACAGGTTCAACGCCTGGTGTAACAAAGTAAAGAATATTATTTTATTAAATAATATATTTTTCTACTTATTTTATATATAGACAAATGCAAACAATTAAATTAGATAAATTAATTAAATTATTTGATAGTCCAGGTATTGTTATGTCAAAAGAAACAAATCCAGCTAGTCTTATTCTTCGTAATTGTATTCGAGTAAAAATGAAATAATAGAAAAAAAACAAATTGACATATTTTTTCTCTCGTTCAATTTTATTTAGATTGAAACTATTGATAATCCATTACCAGCTATTGAATTACTACTTCATCGATGTACGAAAGAACAAGTAAAATCCTCAGGTTTTCTTATCATGGAAGAGCGTGTATCGTAACCTACAGAGCAGTGAACATATTCGGATTAAATTAAAGGTCTCACTCCTAAGCTAAATATCAGATATTTGTACGGATTGAGATATTCGTGTTTAACGTATTGACAAAGTATATAAACGTATTAACTATTCAAAATTTTAACAGAATTTATTTTTCTCTTTTCGTCATGGCTGGATAGAACTCACCGAGTTACATAAGATATACGTGAGACCATAGGCCCGAAATTTTGATTTTCATAAAATTTCTTTTTCTTATGTAACACGACGAGACTTCTAACCAACCATAACAACAAGAGAAAAATGAATTCTATTGAAATTTTGAATAGTTAATACTTTTATATAATATGTAAATACATTAAAATTCGAATATTTCAATCCGTGCATGTCATTAGCAGCCTCTTGTTTTTGAAATTTATTTATCTATCAATGAGATCTTTATAATTTGACTTGAATATGTTCAATGTTCGTGAGTTACAATACACATCTTTGTATTATTAATGAAAAAAAAAAGATAATTATAGTGATTTTAGATGACAATTCAATATAATCTAAGTGATTTTCAAGATGCTAGTGATTTTTTGTCTAAAATGGCTATGAAAATGGGTAGTTTAAAAAAAGGTGGTGTACCAGATATTCATAAAGCAGCACAACGTGTACTTTCTGATTGGACTAATGGTAAATTAACGTATTTTACTGAACCACCTGAACGAACAAATGAAATAATTAGTACTGAACTTGTTACACAAATGAAAGAAGCATTTGATATTGATGTTTTATTGAATAATGAAGATGAACAATTAAAAGATTTAGAAAATAATTTATTTACTGAAATCACTCTTTCAGAATTAACTTCAACACAAACTACTGTTGAAACAAATGAAGAAGAAAATCTATCTGAAAATGAAAATAGTATTGTAGCAGCTATGAATGAAGATGATGAAAATCATCAAGCGATAATAAAAACTTCAGATCAAGTATTCAAATAGAAAATCTTTTTTTTTATTTTTATGAACATTTTTTTTTTATACAGATTCATTTTACAGTTCAAGCAATGGATAAAACAAAACATTTATTGAAAAAACAAGCAATTGATTTAGCTGATCAACAACATGATAATGAAATTCGACGATCAATTTATAGATCTAATCTAACTCGACAACAAGAATTTAAAAAAATCAAAAAAAATCAAAAGAAATTAGGTAAAATTTATTATTTTCTTTTCATTTTATGTTTAATTCTATTTCGATTAGAAAAATCTATGGAAAGTCTAGGTGATGCACTTAATTCTATTATTCGACTTACACCAACAACAACTACAAATGATTTAGTTGATGATTAATAAAATTTTCAAACAGTGTTTTGTTATTTTTTTAAAATCTATTATTGTTGTTATTGTTCTTTTTTTTTTACAATCGAAATAAAAAAGTTGTTTTTTTTTCGGGTGACATTATAAAATTATGAAGAATTTCAAAGAATATCTAAGATTAAAAAAATAATAAGAATAAATTTTGAAGTAAATTTTTGAAATTGAGTGAGATTGATGCATATTCAATTTCTTGTATTTTTAATCAAATGAAAATGATTTAAGAATTGACAGAACAATGTTTATAACACAAACTATTTTTTTTTTTGATTATTTCACATCATTGTAATTCAGTACTTTTTCGTAGTAATAATGTATAATGCTCATCAAAAAAAGAGTACTAGTAAATTACGCTTTCCACTCTCAGCAAAATTTTCAAGAGAAAACTAATATTTGAAAACAAAAATAAGCTCATCGAAATCCTTCTTCGATATATCGGAACTTATCTAGTTCGAATTCATCGTCATTGTTGTTTAGGATCAATAATAAAAGTTTGATCCTTTAATCAAGAAAAATGATCGCAGAGAATTCAAGCTAGATAAGTCCTGATACATTTTATAAGGATTTCGATGAGATTGTTTTTAGCTATATTGATTGGTACTATCCGCGCGAGTTCAAAGACGATGAAAATAGATGAAAGCGTATTTTACTAATACCCTCAGAAAAGTCATTATAATTCTCTTTCTGTCAATCAATTCGTATTGTTATTTTATATCTATGTTCAATTTAATCGTCGATTCTCGAGAAATAATTTGCCAATAGTTAATCAAGTTCATATAATTGTTTTAATTGTCTGTGTTAATTTTTCTATATCCTTTCTTTTTCTCTAATATTTTGTTTCTACACAATACTGTATGATCATTAAAAAAAAACCGATTTTCTATATTATCAAGTAACTTATCAAATGAATAAAGTATTATATTTTTCTAATATAAATTATAATCGATTTCTAGATCAGACAATATTTTATCCAAGTTCTCATAAAAAAAAAAACTATTAGACCATTGACAAAACTTAACCGCTTATTTGTCTTAATCTTTGCTTCGAATGAAATTTTAATACAAGAGACAAATCGAGATAACATTTTGTAACAATAACTTTTGACAATAGACAGACAAAAGATATCGAGTTTTTATTTGTAATCTTATTATCGAATATCAAGTAGATGATTTATTTTTCATTATTGATTGTTCTAACCAAAAAAGAAAAACATTCTCTGTAATATGTTTGTGATATTGACTATCAAATAAAATAAGAAATGCATATAAAGAAAAGAAAAGTTTTCTCAGTATGTTTGTCCAGGGTATTTATACGAAAGAATCTGTTCGATGGAAAAGAAAAGAAAAATATACGCGCATTTGTTATACGTATAACACATGTTAATGGCGACCAGTGGCTTTTTTACTTATTACGATCTCTATGGTGGTAAACCTGAAAACTATCATTATCAACATAATTCTCAATTATCATCATTCAGAGAAATAAAACTTTTATCTATATCAAATACAACAATTATTTCAATTCCAACTATAACATCTTCTATTGAATTAGTTTCATTAACAACAATACAATCAAATAATAAATTATATAAACTCATACAACTTGTTCCATTTACTTATTTACATTGGTTTCTTATTGGACTTGCTATTTTATTAACATTATTATTAATAATTATATTTATTTCTTATTGTCATAATTATTGTAGAAAAAATAACAAATTACGAAAGTAAATTAAAACATTTTATTTTTAATAATAATCATTAAGATTAATTCTTTTATTAGTAAAAAAAAACAATCATCATCATCAAATATCTATCGATATCGAAAGTCCAATAAATCTTTTCATACCTATAATATTTATGAAACAGCAACACCACGTCCTTTTCCATCTCCTACACGTTCATGTTCATTAAATTCAACAGAACATCTTAATAATAATCAACTTTTTCAACAAGATCTTGATACTATTGGTTCTCCACGTATTGATATAAGTCAAACAAGACTATCACAGTAAATATTAAGAAAATTTCTTTCAATATGAATTTATATTTTCTTTTCTTTTTGTTTTTGCATATTTGAAGTACATTCAGTAATACAGCATCAGATTTACTTACCGAAATAAAAAAACGATTCAGTATTCGTTCATCGGAAATTTCATTAAAAACGAATGAATAATGTGAAATATCAGTAAAAGTAGATAAAAATTTGTTTTTTTTTCACATTAAACATATATTTCATTTGATTATTTTTAGCATACAAATTTGTTATTAAATGTCGACACCAAAAATGATTCATTGCTTATTGATATGAACTAGAATTTTTTCATTTTATTCTATATTTATTTTTAAACGATAGATTTATGCGATTTTTTTTTTTGAAATTTTATTTAAAAGCAAAAAAACAAAATTAGCTAAACAAAGAAATTTCGAAATCGATCACATTAATTTCTGTTCAATTCGCCATAATTTAATTGTACCATCATCAGAACATGATGCTAATAGACCAGCTTCTTTTGGATTAAATGATAGTCGATTAACATCTTGTAAATGAGCTTGAGTATTTGAAGCAATTAATGAAAAACTTGGTGGAGAATCTTTTTGTTTTGATTCTTCTTCACGAAAAATACGTATACTATTATCACCACATGCTGTAGCAATTAAACCAGTTAAAGGACACCTTCATATAACATAATAACAATTTTTTTTTAAATTAAAAACAAAAAAGAAAATTACCATTTAACATCATAAATAGGTTGTTTATGATAGCCACTAATCGTACATACACATTTCCATACTGGATAAATACCATTTGTTGAACGAATACCTTAATTATGATTTCAATATAAAATAAAAAAAGGAAATCTAAATTATTATTAATCGTACTACCTTCTTGATTATTTTTTTCATAAGCTTGCCATATTTTAAGTGTTCTATCATCACTACATGAAACAAGTCGTTTTCCCGTAGCATCAAAATCACATGCCCAAACTGTTGATGTATGTGATTCTTATTGTGTAAGAAGAAAAAAAAAATTTAGATTTGAGATATTATTCTATACAATTAAACATATACCTAAACTACATGCACAAGACCAATCATCACTATCTTCAATAAATATTTTAATTGTATCATCATAACTACATGAAGCTAAAATCTGACTGAATAAATAGTTTATATTATTAATAAAACTTTAAAAAAAAATTCTTACATCTTTTTGTGGATGCCATTTTAATTGTTTAACATCTTGTGTATGTGTTGTTAAAACAGCGGCACAAGCAAAATCATTTTCTTCTTCATTGTCTGTACGAAAAGCAAAAACGCAAAGAAAATTATTTCTTGTTGAATACAATCTTTTATTCAGATTTTTCCTTCTGAAGAGACGAATATCTATTTTTGGGAGCGTAGTACATGCTACTCTAAAAATGTGAACCTGATCCTCGGAGGAACGCCATTCTCACACTGGATAAAACACTGATTGAATAAAAAAAAAAACACAAAATAACCATTGACATACATTCCCAAATCCAAACACTTTTATCTCGACCACAAGTTGCCAGATAAAGTCCACTACGTGAAAAAGCAACATCTTTAACTTCATTTTCATGACCTTCTAATATTGTTTGTAAAACAAATTCTTGACCTTGTCTTTCCCATATTGATACTTTAGCATCGAAACCAGCTGATGCAAGACGATTACCACAATATGACCAAGCTACAGAACGAATTGATCGTGTATGACTATCATTCATTGTACTTTTGCATATCCAATTTCGTTCTCCTGTATATAAAAAGAATAAATTTTTATCTATTCAATAAAAGAGATCATTGATTTTCTTTTTTTGTGCATAATCATAAGTATTTTTTTCGAATTAATCAAAGTACGAAATTAGCTTTATTTATGATCACCTTCACGTCCCCAAAGTTTGATCATTTTGTCTGAACCGCATGAAGCAAGTCTAAAAAAAAAGTAAAATAATTAAAATTATTGTTTATATAACAGACAAATTGAATCATACAATGTGCCTATTGGATTCCAAGCTACACACCATATTCGATCATCCGATGCTTCAAGTGTTTGTAATTCAATCAATTCTCCAATCATTTATCTAAGATGTTTTTAATTTAGAAATATTGTTACAACATATATAGTTTTATTAACTATTAAGAAAAAAAAAACTATCACAAACACAAATATTAAATTGTATTGTTAAAAAAAAAAAAAGTGACTAATTATTAAACATATTATCTTGAGATATTTGCCTGAGAATACTTTAAAAGAACAACATAAAAAAAGGGTAAAGAGAGAAAAACAAAAATTTGTTTTTTTTTTTTTTAAATAAATGCATAGAAAAATGAAGAAAGATTACATATATCAAAGTTATTATATCTATTATTCACGACAATCAAATGCATGTTGACGACAATCAATTGCAGCAAATACAAGACCATTTTCACAAATGCATACAGAATAAGATTGAGAACTACGAGCAACTATTGGTGCTTTAGCACGATCAAAAAAACGTAATTTTTCAAAATAAATATGCTCATTTTGAAGACGAATCTAATTAAACTAAATATCAAACATAATATTTACCAATGTGTACTATTTACCGTATGTGCTTTTATAACAATATCATTAGCAACAAAGTCAAGTGTTTGTCTAGCAGATATATCAATATTACTATTCGATGATAATATTAATCGACCTTCATCTGCTGATAGACTAAATTAAAAAAATTAAAAAAATATTTCGATTGATTTAATTCTAATCTACCTTAAATTTTTATTTGAAGTAATTGAATTTGTTACTAAATTTGGAAGTTCTAATCGTTTTTTTTCTTAAAAATAAAATATTTTGAAAAAAAATACAAAAATTTTTTCTTTTATTAATTTATCATACCAGAAATAATTGATAAATCATCAGTATAAACTTGAATTTGTGATGAATCAATAGCAACAAGTTTTGAACCAGTTCGATCATTTATTTGAAATTGTTCACAATTAGCATGAATTCCATGTTGATCTAAATTTAATCATAGAAAATGAATTTATTCATGAAAAATAAATAAATCAAATTTATTACCAATAGTTAATTTTGAATGTTTATATTCTGATCCACTTTGAATTTGTACACTTTTATCCGATTGAATATTTAATGACTATAATGAAAAAAAAAATAAATAAATGAATATTTAAATTTAATCTCTTTTTTATTTTTATTTTTATCATTCTAACTTGATCACCACTTGAAATTTTATTTGCAATAAGTCCATCTTTAAATACAACTGGTGATCGAAATATAACATGATTTTTAAATATTGATATAGGTCCAAGACTTCCCTATAATATTCATTTTTAATAATTTAATAAAAATAATAATTCATATATAAACAAAAACAAACCCAATGTAGACCTAAAGCCACTGATAACCAAAATGTTAAACATAAATTAATAAAAACAATTAATGTTAAAAAAATTAAAAGACAATATAAACAACGTTTTCTCCATCCATATACTCCAATGGAGATAGCTTTCGTTGTTCGAACATGTTCTCTTTGCATATCATCCATATCCCATCTACAGAAGAAAAAAAAAAAAAAAGATCAGTTATATGTCAAATATATTACAGTGGCTTATTTGTTATTCGAAATCGTCAAAGTAATAGAATAGCAAAAAAGAAAAATTTTTTTTGTTGAGGCAAATAGTTCAATAAAGATAAATACATGCAACACTAATTGAATATTAAAAAGAAAGGCATTATACCCACCACGGACATACATACATATAGAGAGAGAGAGAGAATAAATGTACAAAAAAAAAAGTAAGTTAAATCGACTAATCACAGTAAAGGATAGACAAGACTGAATAGAAATACATCGATAAATCTGAACGAAAGAAATATTGAAAAAAAAAAAAAAAAGAATAAAGAATAAATAGAAAATGAATAGCTCAATTCAAAGAAACGATATACAAGAAGAATCTTATTTTTAAATATACAAATATACATTTTTCATGTTCAGCGAATCGGCTAAATTTTTACATATATATATACAGATTGTTTTTATATATAAATGATCTTTCTATCTTTCGAATTGTTCTACTGTTTTAATAAACATGTTCTCATTTATTGTTGTTTGTGTAGTCTGGGTGTTTTTTCTTTAAATGATTTACACAACAATAACAGATCTACATACACACAAAATATACATATAAGTGACTAGAGATACGCAAATGAATAAACAGAAACATAAAAACATTGATAGAAAATATTAACAAGTGCTCGATGGTTCATTGAGCACAATAAGTCCCTGATTTTGAAGACAATGTAAACGTCGTTCGACTGCTTCACGATATTGTCGTAATATTGATCGATCACAATCAGTTGTTGCTTGTTGACTTAAACTATGAAATAAAACTTGGGCTTGAGTATATGGCCCAATACACTAATGAAAAAAAAAAATAATTATTTTATTAATAATAAATAAATAAATAAATAAATTATTTTTCTTACTTCTTGAGCTTTACCAAAAAACTCTAAACTAGCTGCATTTAAACAAAGATCAATTGCATGTAAATAAAGTAATTTATCAGCTGTTAATGTAACACCTTTCATTTCATCATGTGTTAATAATTCTTCTTGTGTACTTAATTGTTTACACATTATTAAACAATGTTTATATTTATTATTTAAATCACTAACAGCATTTCTATATAAAAAAAAAAAAAAACAATTAAGATAAGTCTTTATTTGAAAGAAATTTATTTGTTAATTATTTGAAAGAAATAGATTAGAAATGATCAGTACTATGTATATTTAAATAAGATTTTATATTACATACTCATGAAATCTGAGATGCGGAGAACAAGAAAGAAAAGCTATTGGGATTTATTTTAAACCTTTATTCTTGTCATTTGATATTAACATCAATACTAATATAAAGTATTTGAAATCGCTAAGATAAGACAATGTAAATTAACAATCAAAAAATTTGATCATATCTTTTTTGTAATAATACATTTAAAGATTTTAAAAAAAAAATTTTTTACAGAATAAAAATTTTATCTTCTATTCTAAAATAATATTTCTTACCGAACATTAGCTGTTGCATGTAATTTTCCAGATTTGAGTGTATCACTAAAAATAAAGAAAATATTGAAATCTACAAAATAAATATAATTAATTTACCGAGCAAGACACATAGCTGAACTAAGAAAATGCATTGCTTTAACATAGAGTGTTAATTGTTCTGCACGTTTATATAAATTATCCACATGACTAAGACGATCCATTTTAGGTCGTGGTAAATTATTATTATTACTGTTCTTATTATTTAAACTTAATGATTCTGTTAATAAACTTGTACGTGAACTAGCTAAATTTAATATATATTCAACTAATTGAAGAATAAATTCAAGTTTATTTAATGTATCATGATGTTCAGTCTATAAGAATTAAGAAAACAAAACTTATTTTTTTTTTTTTGTCTCTTTGTAAAAAAAAGAATAATATATGTTTACATACATCCATTAATGTATCTTCTGTAATTTTTTGTGGTTCATAATAACGATTTTCAGGATTTGTATCACCAAATATAGAAGTAACACGTCGACGAATTGATCCTGCTGTTGTTTGTTGATCAATATCTGTTGTAAAAAAATCAGTATTATTTTCTTGTTCAAAAAATCGATCATGTGGAACTAAGTAATGAATATAATGATGAGAACAAAAAAAAAAAAAAAACAAAAGAACAAATCAATAGTTACTATCAATATCTGTTAATTTTTGTCGTGATTTAAGTGGTGATGCATCAATAATTAATTTTGAATTTTGTTGTTGTACAAGACTTGAATTTGATGCTGATTGTTGAATTGTTCGTGATGGTGGTGGTGTTGTTGTATCTTAAATTAGAAAAAAAAAAAAAGAAAACCAATTTTTATTTTAAAATATTCAAATAAAAAAAAAAAAAAGATTTACTTGTTCGACGTGTTGATGGTACTAAACTAAATGGATTTGCTGATATATTTGTAGTATCAATTGTAAATCGTACAGCTGGTGGACTAATTGAATTAGCTAAATCAGAATTTGATGAAACAATACTTGCTCGACGAAGACGATCTAATGATGCACGACGATCTAATTAAAAAGAGAAACAAAAAAAAAAGATTTAACGAAAATTTATTATATTAAAATATACCATCATATGGACTACTATTTGGACTACCAGCTGATACACCACCAATACTTTTTCCACGATCTCTTGATTCTTGCATTTTTTCATAATTATGAATTTGTGATGGAACTGGTATTGGTTGTGTAATATTGGATGTTCGAGTATCTTTCATTGTAGTTGTATTTTCAATAGCTATTAATGCAAGATTATCTGGTCGTTGTGATGATGGTTCTTTTGAACATCTAGAGAAAAAAAAAGAAAGAAAGAAAGAAAATTTATTTTATATATATTTAATAATAAAATAACTTACAAAACTCCTTCAGATAATGTACGATGTTGTTCTTTTATAAGACGTTTTTCTCTTGAAAGTTGAGCAAATGATGTATGACCACCTGTTGGAAGACTTTTTTCAATTGTAACATGTTCAGGTATAAGTACAAAATCATCTGGTTTTGTTAATGTTGGTATTAATGGATTTGATGTATATTTCGTTATTGATTTATTTGCATTTATTATTGGAACTAGATTATTTACAGAATTTGGTGATGGTGAACGACGATTATTTGTTGTTGGTTGTGTTGGTATTGGTAATGTATTCGGTACAACATCTGGTTCATATTCAGGAATTGGATCAATCTGACGGCTAAATTGCCGAGGAATTGGTAAATCCTTATTGAAGAAAAATTTGCTTTTTCTTTTTTGTTTCAAGAAAATATTTTTACGACAACTTACAAAATCTTGTCCTTGAGATAAAATTCCTTCACGTAATGGTGATGAACTAATAATACTCATAGCTGTTTTTTCTGTTCGACCTGATGATATTGGTACAGGTTGACCTAAAATTTTTAAGAAAATAAATATTTAAATTTATCTTTTCTTTTTTTGTTTTTCGAATATACTTTTTTTTAAAAATGGATGATTAAAAAAATCTTCATAATCAATACGTTCTTTTGGATTTCGCTTTAAAATTCTTACAATTAAATCTGTTAATTCTCGTGAAGTTGATGGTGGAATTCTAAAAATACGAAATCAATATATCAAAAAAAAAAAAATCAAATATTGAAATTAATTTACGATGGTGCTAAATTAACATTTCTTTCATAAAATTGTTTAAGTGCTTGTGGTGTTTGTGCTTGAAATGGTGCTTTGCCTGTTAAACATTGATACATAATTGTACCAATTGACCATAAATCAGCTTTTCCATCATATTGTAATGATCGAATAACTTCTGGTGCCATATACATTGGAGAACCACATAATGTTCCAGCCATAACACCATCAGATAAAAATCTAGCAAAACCAAAATCAGCTATTTTTAATATAACATCTTGTACACGTTGATCATTTTTATCTGGATGTGATAAAAGAATATTTTGTGGTTTTAAATCTCGATGAACCTTGAAGAAGAAATATAATACTTTGTTTTTTTTCTTATTCTAAATGAATAAATACTTACAACACTATGCTCATGACAAGCACGAATAGCAGCAGCTAAAAATGAATATATAAAATTTGAATTATTTAGATAATTAATAATATTTTACCAATTTGTCGAAAGAAAATAGCAATTGTATCTTCACTAAGTGTTTGTCTTGATTGAAGATAATCAGCTAAATCACCACCATTACAAAACTATATTAAATAGAAAAGAAAAATAAAATTCATTGATACAAATAAATACAAACCTCCATTACAAGATAAACATTATTTTGAGATTCCTATGACAAAAAAAAATAATATTACAAATATAAAAATTTTTTTTTTTGTTTTAATTTTACTTTGCAATCAAGTAAAGCAACTAAATTTTCATGTTTAAGTTTAGTTAATTCCTAAAAAATAAAAATCAATTTAACAAAAAAAAAAAAAACAACAGACTGTTTTTGTTTACTTTGAGAATTTTAATTTCTTTTTCTAATAAACTTTGTGATTTTGCTAATTGTTTTTTTGTTATCTGTTTAATAGCTACTTGTTGTTCAGGACTCTGTAAAAAATAAATAAAAAAACATATAAATAAATAAAATTTCTTTTAATCACATACACTTTTTGAATGACCAAGAAATACAATAGCAAAAGCACCATGTCCAATTAAATCTCGTTTGCTATATTGATAATCACCAATAGTTTCAGGCATTTTAATAATATCTCTTGTTTGATTTTTTTGTATTAATTTAAATCATATACAATAGTTAAAAAATAACTTGTCGTCTAAAAATTAAATAGTTATAACTAAATTTTATGATGATGAAATGCAATCAGAAAAAAAAATTATAATATTTTATGACTGAGAAATGGATAAAAAAAGAACGAGACGAGAAATGATGCAATAGTAGTTTATAGATGTGTATATGCATTCATCAATTCAATATTCTTATTTAAATGAAATAAATACAGGTCACCTTTTCTCTATATAAAGACAGGCGCGCAATTATCAACGACCCCAATGATATAGTTTATACGCTGTCGCATGTGCGTGTGTATGCGTAGAATACCGATAACACTACACAATCAGCCAGCAGCTGAGCGCATGATACATGTATAAAGAACGAGAAAAAAAATCGACAAGAACGAGCAAAGAAAAAAACATCATCATGTGATGATGACTTACATTCACATTTTTTCTCTTTCATATTCTATTTTAGATCCACGTATATATTAATATAACAAAACATTCTTAGTTAGTTGTACTCATATAGAGGAAAAAAAATCACGCAAGTTAAGGGCGACTGAAAGGAAGAATAAGAAAAGAAAGACGTATGACGTATTACATCAGCACTAAAAAAATGCACTTAAATGGATCGAAGTCTGTAAAAGGGCTTTCAAGGTTAAAATTAATATATTACCCTTTTTTTTTTTCTTTTTTCGTTGCACACACTATTTTGATCATGTCGCAGTCTTTTGATAAATAAAACAAACAGATAAAATAATGTTGTGTACGTCAATGGAAAAATAAAACTTATTTAAATATACCAATAAAAATATTTTGATAAAACTATCAGACAAAGAAAACAGACTAACAAGATTAAAAATATATTATTCATTTTTCTATGTAACAAAAAAAAAATCAAAACAAAATGTCAATCCATCTATAAATTAAATCATATTCATTGAGATAAGGTCAACTGTAGACATACACGTATATACATCAACTGATGTATGTGCAAACAGTACTTGATTCACTTTCTCTATTAATCACGCATTTCTCTTCGTTCTCTCCTTCTGCTTATTCCAATGTAGGCACGTTTATACTGCGTGATGTGAACATATGTAAAAAAAAACACTGTTTCGTCAGATACTTCTTTATTAACATACACCCTGTTAACATAGAGACCAAAGTATGTTATGTTTTCTCTGTTCTTTTTTTCTTATACAACCAGCTGCTATTTTTCTTTTCTCTCTTCATGGATGTTTGTCTTCAAAAATGAGACAAATATGTTTTAGCAACTTATTTATTCCATTTGTACTTGTTTAGAAAGAATAGAAAAAATAAATAATTCATCGACTTTGAACTATCAAAAACTTAGCGGTGATACAACGATTTTTGATCAGAAGGGGCCGAACATCTCTAAGCTCTTCTGTAGGATCACTTTTAGCAATAATTTTAAAAATTATTCGGGAGGGTGAAGGTCAAAGTTTTTGAAGAGACTCAACCCTTTCACCCCCTGTGGTGACGCCATTACAAGAAATAAATCTGTCTCATGATTTCTATTGATCAAATCATATACGTACCTTTTCATTGAATATGTACAGTTTGTTTAATATATACATTAAAACAAAAATGATTTTGTTTTATTTTTTAATAATCTAAAAGTTAAGAGAAAATTTTATTTTTCTTTTGCTTTAAACAAATAATAAGACAAAAAAGAACGATAATTAACAAGTCCAAATAATAACAACAAATAAATCAACTAATATAATAAACAATAGAAGAAAACAATGATAAGATTTCATGTTTAAACAATTAGTCACTATTTTATATATATTCAAATATAAATTCCAACCCAAAGTAAAAGAAATAAACCGCCGTAACCAAGAAAAATTGATGCCACACTAAAACAAAATAATAAATCAATTATTTTTATAAAAACATTTTCAAAAAAAAACAAACATACAGAGCAATAAGAATTTCTTTTTTCCAGTCTCGAGTATATTTTGTACTCGTGACTTCATAAACGAAAAACCATGCCATTAAAAATATGCCAATACCTAAATAAATAAAACTTATTACTTCAAGTCATTTCTAGGGTTTTTTTTTTTTTGTCAATATACCTAATAAAACTATACTAAGTGTTGGAAAAGCAGCTGGATTAACTGGACTAACATAACGGCTCATTTGATCAACATTTAATCGTACCATTTTATTATTTTATTTTTATCTAAAGATCAAACCATTCACTAGTTTATTGACTATATATTTCTTTCTTTTGATTTTTTATTGAAGGACTACTCTCTAGGAGCCGAAGCGCATGGGGTTGTCATTGTTGGATTTAGATTATAGTAAAAAAACAGCAACAAAAAAAAAAAAGAAAATTAGTTATATTAGATTCTAGTTTGTCTTTTTTTTTATTTCGTCTATTAAAATCATTTAGCTTTTGATAAATATTGTTTAGCAAATGTAAGACCACTTTGAATATTTGCATTAAGTTCTTTCTTGGCTTTTTCAATTAATTTCTTTTC